TCAATCAAACAAACAAAAATAAATAAATTAAGAAACAACAACCAACAAGAAACAAACACAAACAAACAAACAAACAATCAAACAATCAAACAAACAAACAACAACAATAACCACAACAACAACAGCAGCAGCGACAGCAACAGCAACAGCAACAACAACAACATCAACAACACAGCAACACCACCACCGCCAGCGCCATCAACACCAACAATGCCACCACCAACAAGACCGCCACCAACAACACCGACGCCAACAACACCACCAACGTCAGCAACAGCAACAGCAACAACAACACCAACACCACCAACACCAACACCGCCAGCAACAACAACCGACCATTCAACCAATCAACCAAACAAACAAACAATCAATCAAACAAACAACAACAACACCAACAAGAGCAAAACAAGAACAAGAGCAATAACAACGACAACCACAACGACAACAACCACGACGACGACAACGACAACGACAACGACGACAACGACAACGACAACGACAACGACAACGATAACAACGACGACAACAACGACAACGACAGCGACAACGACAACAACAGCCAGCAAACAGCAAGAGCGACTGCAACAACTATTGCAACAACAACACAACAACAGCAAGCAACGGCAGCAACAGCAACAACAACAAACAAACAAACAAACAAACAAACAAACAAAAAATCAACAAACCAACAACAACAAACAAACAAGCAAACAAACAAACAAACAAACAAACAGTCAATCAAACAAACAACAGCCATAACCACAACAACAACACCAACAGCAGCAGCAGCGACAGCGACAGCAACAGCAACAACAACATCATCAACAACAGCAACAACAACAACCGCGCAGCAACACCACCACCGCCAGCACCATCAACACCAACAATGCCACCACCAACAAGACCACCAACAACAACAGCAGCAACACCAACACCAGCACCAACACCAACACCAACAGCCAGAGCAGCAGCAGCAGCAACAACATGAACAGCGACCGCAGCAGCAACAACACCCATAACAACCAACAACAACGACAACAACGACGGCGACTACAACAAACAGCAACAAATCGTAATTCATAGTAACAAGAACAGCAACACCAACAACAACAACAATAACCGCAACCACACCCACAACCACAACCGCAACAATCGCAACACCAACAACAACAGCAACAAGAACGACCAACAACGTCCAACAACCACAACAACAACGACAACAACACGCAACCAACGACGACAACAAATGAACACCAACAGCAACAGCAACAGCAACAACAGCAACAGCAACAACAACAGCAATAACCAAAAAGCAGCACCCGTTACGACGATGGCGGCGACGACATTAACAACACAGAACAACAAGTCAGAATAGTAACAGCAACACCAGCAACAGCAACAACATCAACCACAACCGCAACAACAACAGCAACGACAGCATCAACAGCAACAACGGCAACACCAACAGCAACACCAACAGCAACACCCGCACGAACAGCAACAATAACAGGAACAGCAACAGCAACAGCAACAGCAGCAGCAAACGCAACAACACTGACAACACCAACATCACCAACAACAACAACCACAATGACAACGCCAGCAACAACAACAACCGCGCAGCAGCAGCAACAACTACAACAACCGCAACGACCACGAGACCCACGACAATGACAACAGTAACCGCAACAGCAACAGGAACAGCAACAGGAACAGCAACAGCGACGGCAAAAGCACACAGCAGGAGCAACTACAACAACCACAGCGACCACGAGATACACGACAACAGTAACAGCGACAGCAACAGGAACAGCAAAAGAACAGCAACAGCAACAGCAGAAGCAACCGCGACAGCAACACTGACACCACCACCACCAGCAACAGCAACAACAACAGCAACAACACCGCCAACACCACCAGCGCCACCGCCACCACCACCGCCACCGCCACCACCACCACCACCACCACCACCACCACCACCGCCAAGAACACCACCAAACAGAAACAGCAAGAGCAACAGCAACAACAACAACCACAGCAACAACAACACCAACACCACCAACACCAACACCAACAACACCAACACCAACAACACCACCATCAACAACAACAACCACAACCATCACCACCACCACAACAACAACAATCGCAACAGCAACAACAACAACAGCAGCAGCAACAACAAGAACAACACTCGCGGCGACGACGACGACGTTGATGACGATGACGACGACAACGAGGACCGCGACAGCGACAGCGGCAGCGGCAGCGACAGCAGCAGCAACAGCAACAGCAACAGCGACAGCAACAGACAACAACACCAACACCAACACCACCGCTGCCGCCGCCGCCACCACCACCACCGCCACCACCACCACCACCACCACCACCACTAGCAACAACAACCGCAACACCAACAACACCAACACCAACACCAACACCAACACCAACACCAACACGAACACCACCAGCAACAACGGCGCCGGCAACCCCGCGGCTAAGGCCAGGGCAACGGCAACGGCAGCGGCAACGACAGTGGCAACGACAACGACAATGGTATGGTGGTGTTGTTGCTGCTCCTGTCTTTCTCGTCGTTGTCGTGGTAGTTGTTGTGGTCGTTGTCCTTGTCCTTGTCCTTGTCGTAACACCAACACCAACACCAACTGCAACCAACTGCCGCAGCAGCAGCAACAACCGCACCCACTAACACAAAAACAAGCTTGACGGCAACCGCAAGCATAACGACAACGACAACGGCGACCACAACCACCGCACCGATAACAGCAGCAGACAACCCAGCAGCAACAAGGACATCAACAACAACAAAAATAAATCCACATATACACACACGTATACTGTGAAGGTGGGGTGGGGGTTGGGGGGCAGAAGTTTGAAAACATACCAACTATAATTTGGAGCACGTTTTTGTTCCCCCCGCGGAGCTCCTTGTTCAGAGCCAAAGCAACAGGCAACCTCGGTCCAGCAACAGAGAGGGTAACATCGCGTTTTGCTTTCTGACCGAAACCTGAAAAGCCACTCAGCACCGCAAGGTTTGTGCATGGCAACTTGTTCCTCATCCTCACCATTGAGCCGCCAGCCTCAGAAGATCTCAGAAGACAAGTAGATAAGATGGGAGGCCGTGCTTGTTTTGGGGAGTGCGTCTGATATCTGATATCTAGAAAATCTATATCTCAGATGCGGAAGGGCTACTTGGCGAACCACCCAGGCTGTAGTGCCGTACCTTGAGGGGGTTCATTGTTTGGATTGGCCAGTTCCTGGAAATCCAAGGTCTCCACTATTCAGTTTGGCCTCGCGCAGCTCATTGCTTGAGGTTTCCGGACTCGCTGTCTCCGGAGAACCAGAAGGCACGGGGAAGCCAGAGAATGGCGCCGGCTGGGAAGCGCGACATCCCTGGTCAACGGTCGGAGATGTCCGCCAGTGAGCGGCAAAAATTCAACCGCCATGTGGGATGTAAACAATATCATGATGGTGACGGAGTGATGGCCTATCTTTAGACCTTCTTTTTCAGCCTTGATGTTGCTTGCTTTTGAAAGAACGCCATTGAGTTGTTGGTGTCCTATTCCTCTCCCACAAATTCACATGGGCAAAAGGATGGAAGGACCCTTTTCGCAAGAGCCCCTTGTTGGGTTCACTGAACACAAAACAGGACAGTCATCGAAAGATGTGATTTGTTCTCTGTGAGAATCCGCCCGTTCAGCCTGTTGCCTTCCTTTTAGCTTCCAGGCCCAAGACGTCTCTGGGTCTCGCGCCAGGCCATGGCGAAGCTGCTGCCGCCCCCGCTGCATGTGCCCAAGTGGCAGGAGGACCGAAGGCTTTGGGTCTGACGCGTCAAAATCGACTTGGGCCAATTCGAGTCAACAACGACCAGGGCATCCAGACGTTTCAAAGCCATGGGGATTTTCAATTTGACTTAAGTCAGTTTCCTTCTTGAGTGATATTGTTTGGGCCTGCGGCCTCTAGCCGGCTACGCCTCTTTGAAGGGGGCCTTTGCGTTGAGCCATCCATTGGCAACCCTATTGTATTTTTCATGGCGCTTTCAATGGTTGGGGTAGCGCCTGTTTTGGGGTTGGACCCCCCAAAGCGGCTTTGGTGGTTCTTTTTTTGAACAGAATTGGAAAAGGAGCCTCCGGGTGGCACATGTTTCCAAGTTGCTGTCAGACGGATTCCATGCGGCAATCGCTGCATGCAAGTTAAAAACGATTTGCACCAGAGCACGCAGGCTCCACATTCAGATCAGATGCGAAGAGCTGGACATTTGGATTGAGTAGAAACTGTGGGCTCATGCAGGCTATGTGGCCATGTGGTTGATGAAGCGATGCCTCGAAGTATGGAATGAAGCATGTATGTAGCCGTTCGAGGCTCCAGATGGGAAGACATGCCGCGTGAGCAAGCGTGGCTTGCGTGCGACCAGCGCTCGAGGTGGCTCTGGTTCAGCGAGGCTCGTGATCAGCGCGTGGGGGCCAAGCATGGTGCTGAAGCGGGTGCGTGGCTGGAGTGCGAAGACTGTGCTCGCCAGTTTCAAGGCGAGCGCGCGCTGTGGCAGCACCAGCAGTCTAAGCGCGGCAAGGACGTGGCTGAGGGCGGCAGCAAGAGACGAAAGAGGCAGCAGAGCGGCCCGTGGTGAAGGAGCAGTCGGACAAGTCGGACAACGAGCAGGAGCCCGCGCCGTCCGAGTCGGACTTGGGCTTGGAGTACGTGCGACACGAGCTACACGTACGACTTGGGAAGAGCAGCGGACGGAGGCAGAGGAGCGGGTGTGGCGCCAACTGGACGAGCAGGCGCGCGCTCAGATGGGTTGACCAGCGCAGGTCTGTCTACCAGAAGTGCGAGAAGCAGAAGCAGCTGCGGAACGTGTCGGCATGCCTGGGGTACGAGTGCGTATATACCTTTATTTTCTGGGCCTGCGGTCTCTAGCCGGCTACGCCTCTTTGAAGTTATACCATGTCATGTCATGTTTTTTGCATGAGAAACGTAGCGTGTGCTATGATATGGCTGGTTAGGTTATGCGTGTTGCCCACCTTAACCCCAGATAATGCCGGGGATGCCGGCCTTCTGGGCCCCATCCGGGCCCCAACCCAGAAGGACCCAAAAAAAGCAGCCCAAAAAGAGCAGCCCGCAAACCAGGCCGGAAACGCAAATGCAACAAAACACTGTAAATAGCAGCGTTTTGTGGCTGGGGGCGCGCGCGCGCGCGCCAAAAGGGCCGAAAACCAACGCAAAAAAAGCAAGGACCGCGCAGCACGCGAGCCAGCCACAGCAAAAGCAAAACGGACAGAACAACAGCCCAACGCTCAGCACAGCAGTTTTTGGCGGTATTTACAGCGTTTTGTAGAGCGAGGACCCAGCATCGCCGGCATGCCCGGCAGCGCTTGGCGCCAAAATGCGCAAAAATGAGCCTCGCTTTTACCCCTCCGACACCTACTTGAAAACAGTGCTTTTTGGGTGGAGAGGCTTTTTGGAAGGAAGTCTTGATGATGCAGACCAAGCCCCGCTGAAGCATCACCCAGGCCCAACCCCAGACCCTGACGTACGCGATGTTTCGCGAGGGTTTCCCACAGGCAAGCAAAACCGCAAGCCCGCGCTGGTGATGCAGAGGTGCCGGATTTGGGCAGCGCATCACGACCAAGTGGCGAGGGTCGGCGGCACCAGGGTGCACCCCCTATAGCTAAAGCTAGCAGGCTAATTGCCTAGCGGCGACATGCTACCCCAAGGAGGCGTAGCCGGATTAACCAGGCTCCCGCCTGCTTCCGCCGACCCTCGGCGCATTAAGGGAAAAGTCACAAGGACCGGTCCTGAAACACGTCCGCAAACCCAGGGACCACTTATAAGATCCTCTACGACCACAAACAAGGATTAACGGAAATGCCACCTCAAACCGCTTCAGGACACTGGACAGGGTCCCAGGTCCCAGTCACTCCCTGCGACCGGCTGAGGGGCACCGACGGCCTTGTTTCTAGGACCAGCTCAAGGTGACTTGGGCACAAACCGGCCTGTGCTATTGACGGACGAGCTGCCACTTTTCCGTTAATCCTTGTGGTAGTAGAGGATCCCTGCATCTATTCGAGTCCAATACGTCGAGTCAAACCGCTGGGACCAGCCTGTCCCGGTCCCTGCCGGCGACCGGTCCAGGGCAACTTCGGGAGGGCCAGTTTCAGGGCGACCCCGGGAGAGGCGACTGCTCCCGGGCCAACTCGAAGTGACTTGGGCGCCCAAGCGGTAATTAACGGACTAGCTGCCATATTTCTGACTTTTCCGTTAATCCTTGTTTGTGGTCGTAGAGGATCTTATAAGTGGTCCCTGGGTTTGCGGACGTGTTTCAGGACCGGTCCTTGTGACTTTTCCCTTAATGCGCCGAGGGTCGGCGGAAGCAGGCGGGAGCCTGGTTAATATCATTGATTCCAATCACTTCCAGTTGCATCCCACGCCGGTCCCCTCTGCAGGAGGCTGGGACGGGAGGCAGAGGGTCGGCGGATTTACCGAGAGAAGGCAAGATGGGATGCAGACTCGCAGGTTGACATGTGCCATATGATGATGGATACTTGTCAAAGCAGGGGGGCCGGAACGAACAATTCAATGGTGGTTTTCCTTTGGGGTTTCCCGAATCAAGATAAAAATGGTAGGCTAAAAACACAGCGTTGGAGCAATGGACCTGCTTTTCAACCAGCGGCCCTGTCGGTTTATGTTAGGCTCCTTGCCCTTGTCATTGGGAGCAAATAGGCGGACTCCTTGGTCCTGGGGAACGGTCTCAGAGTTGAGGGTTGGGGACAAACTTTGGCGCGCTATCGCCCGGACAGGATGGAAACGCAGCTTTCAGTCTCGCTGCTCGCTTTGCCTTGATTCCCCTTCAAAAGCGGCAAATGCAAGTTGACAAGGCGCCGCCGAAAGCAGCTTGGCCAACTCACGAAAAGTACGGATCCCTGTCGGTGTTCAAGATAAGGTTCAAAGAGTCCATTTTTTTCAGCTGTGCCGGCTTCCGGCTTCCTGCTTCCTTCCTCACTTCGCTTGGGTTCCTTGCAAGGACGACCAATCAGTTGAGATCCATACAGTGACAGACATCGACCCGGTGCAGTCCTTCAATTCCAACAAGGCCAGCCTCTCTCGCCACTTTTCGCTCAGAAGTCACTCGGAGGTAGTGAGGCTTGATGTTATTGTTCGACACTTGGCAAGTTTCGCAACACGAAGCCGAAGGGAAAACGACCCCTTGGAAGGATAGCTGAGGTTGGAACCCTGAGCGTCCAGGGTTTGCTGTACTTTGCCTTGTGAATCAAAGGGCTAGCCCTGGAGCCCAAGAAGCCGGAGGGTGGGGGGGTGGGGGTGGGGGGGTCCCCAAAAAAGAGGTTCCTCTATGGCAGGTGTGTTGGGTTCGCTTGTCACAACAGGGGCTTGGTTTGGACCCGAAAATGGTTGTTTGGAGCCCCGTGATCTCTCTTGGGCCTTGCTGAAAAAGGGTAGCCTCAGCACAGAGCCTGTGGGCCACTCCACAAGGTTGCCACCGAAGACTCCCACTCTGCGCGAGCGCCAGGTCAACATGTCCGCGGGGGGCGAGGCCTACGACGACGACGAGGAAGACGGCCCCCGTGGGGGGCCTGGCGGCCCGGGGGTGCAGTGCCATCAGCAGTGAGGTGTCCGAGGCCGGGAGAGATGGGCGGGGGAGGCAAGGAACGGTGCATGGGCCAACCCCGTTTTACGCATTGGCACGTTTAAACATGTTGCTTGAGCTGCCTCTTTTTTTGGTCTTTCTTAAGTGGTTCCCCGGCTTCGGGGCTCCAGGTCTGGTTGTTGAAGCAACATTTGCCCCCTGGGTGTAGGTGGGCGGGAGATCCATCACTTGCTCGTTCTCAGGAGGGGAATACGAGAGTACTTTCCGGAGGGCCTTTGTTTTTGGGATTTGTCCTGTTTTTTCTTTAGGATTTTCTTCCTGGATTTTGCCTTATCTGGCTTCTTAGCGTCTTGGCCTTTTTGCCTTTGTTTGTTTGAAATCTGGGCTTTTTGGCTTTTGGCTTGCGGCTTTTTGGCTTTTTGGCTTTTTGGTTGTTTCGGCTTTTCGGCTTTTCGGGTTTTTGGCTTTACTTTTTGCGCATACTCGGCATCTCCAGAAACACCCCAGCATGACCGTCTTTTGGCTTTTTGATTTTTTGGTTGGTGGTTTCTTACCTCCCATGTTTCTGTAGATGGGGGGGTGGCTGCGCCCTCCCCCCCCCCAACCCCCCCGCTTCCTTGTGGCCGTTGTTTGGCTTTGTGATGACCTCCAACGGCAAACCTAAAACCCCAATGCCCACCCTAAACCCACGTTGTGGCCCAAAACCACCCTAAATAATGATAATGGTTCCCCCCCTCCCTCCCAAAGAAAATAATAATAATCACGACCTGCCCCCCCTCCTCGTCCCCTTCCTGGCCCCCCCCCCTTCGCCAATCCGCTTAGTGATAATAAGAATAACACTCATAAATAATAACAAAGGTAATAAAGCTTGCCATCCCTTTTCAATAATAATGTTTCCCCCCCCCTCCCCTCTTCGCTTCCTTCCTGTAAATAAAGATGCTCCCCCCTCCTTCTTTAGAAAAGGGCTTCGCGCGCAGGGCTCCTGAATTGGCAGAGACTGAGAAACCAACCCAAGCGCTTCGCGAATGCGGACCAAAAGAGGTGTGTCTTTGTGCTCGTGACATGCCCGAAGCCTATGTGTCCTTTTTCGACCCATTCGACGTGTAGTTCGGTGATGTAACGCTTGGCACAACTGTAGCTGCAGTCTCAAACGAGTGTACAGCTGCCTGCATTGCAAGACCTTTGGGCGAAGGCACTTGCACTTTGACGTTTCGCATTCTTCCGCAGGAGATTTCATTTGCTGCCAGCTTTGCTGACAGCGTAAATGAAGGAGAAGGACATATGCAAGTGCAGCAGCCAGAGCGTGCGGAGCACGCTGGCAGAGCGCCACACAACCCAAGCATACCCAAGCCCAACTACTGTGAAAAGTGAACAGACCCCTTCCGGCGGTTTCTTGTGTTCCCTTCCACGCATCCCCCAGCTTTAGTACTGACATTCCCAGCTGGAACAACCGGACTCGGTTCCGCGCTCACCAGCATGGCGTGCAGACCTCAGGCTAAAGCCCAGATTTGCGCAATACAGCTCATGTCCGCTGGTTCTACAGAGCTTTGGGGACATCTTTACTTTTTTTGGGGAGGGGGATGAAGCCGGGGGTGCTCCAACTGGTGCTGACGCATTGTCATTGGGAATCCAGCAATTCTTCCCAGTGTTCCTGTCGTGGCGAAAGGGGGAAAGCCGATGCGGAAGATTCCTCAAAGCAGCTCATGAGGGGAAGGTTCCTTAAACATCACAGCTGGAAACAACATTCAAGCCTGGCAGGGTCCTGTTCAAATTCCGCGCACGTGTTGCCAGAAAGACCTTGCCCCTTTTTGGGCGTTTCCGCGGGTCTCCCGGTGGCTTCCGGGAGCACCGGGACTCGTCCGAGTGCGGCGGGGGGGGAGGGGGGGCGCTTGGGCGGCTTGTGGGCGCCTCGTTCTTGTCGTGGCTTCTGGCGTTTGTGAAACGAAACACGAAAGGCGATGGATGAAAGAAGCGCAAAGGGCGGAGGGAGAGCGTGGAACGCGGAAAGTCGAAGTCAGGGCTTCAAGCGTAGGAGAGCCGCCAGCTAGCGCAGCTTTTGGACCTGGTCCGGAGCCCATTTTTATTGGGAGAGGAGTTGCCTCGGCATCTAACACCTGCTACTGCCCGGAGCAGTGGGTCCCTGTCAGCTGTAACGGGAGACCAATTAAAACGAAACCACCCATTGGTCGTTGTTGGGAAACATTTTTTCCATGTTTGCTTATTGTGGTTGAGTGGTTGAAATCCAACCACTTAACAGCTAATTTGTTTTTCAATTGTTGCTCCCCTTCAACGTTCTAGACCCCAAAGGCCTGTGGGAAGCAGGATGAACCATGCTTGAGCAGGGCTCCTTAAAAGATGCATTTTGCCCATTTGAAACATGGCGTTTTCACCAAACTAAAAGGGAAACCACCGAAGCAAATGCGGTGCTCAGAAAACCGACCCCCCGTCCTTGCGGGGTTTGCCAAGCACATGCAACCGGAGCCTGGTTCCCTTGAAATGGAGCATAATGGAGTCCGACAGAAGGTTGTTTGAGTGGCTGCAGAAGGTTGGATCCAGCTTGGCCCCTGTGGGCCGGGCCTTTTGTGCCTGTGGCTCTATTTGCAGATGGGGCAATGTCCCATGATTCGAAGACTTAGCCATGTTTGTCTCACTCTGGACCCAGCTTGTTCGTGCGACCTGTGCCTATCCAGGCTGATGTTTCGGCCGCCGCTGCATGCTCCCAAGTGGAAGGAGGGCCGAACTGTCGGATTTGCTGTGTCAAAGCCTGAAAGGGTTCCCTATTTTCTCACGGTTTTAAGATCACTTGGGCCAATTTAAGCCAGAATCCTTTTGGATCCTTTTGGAGTGATGTTTTCCGAGGGAAAACAATATGGGTGCCACGCAAAATCGTGGGTTGAAATGTGCCACATGGGATATGTGTCAAAGAAGGGGTGGCCGGGGCCAATGGTGGTTTTCCCCTGAAAACGGAAGCCTCCAAAACACAACGTTGGAGCAATGGACCTGCTTACCAGGGCATTGGTCCTGGGGGCTCTGTCGGTTTGTCGTAAAGTGGTCAACTGCTCATATGTCATTGTCATGGGAGCTTAAATAAAGGCGGACATGGCGGACTTCGGAGTTGAGGCTTGGGGACAAACTAGCAAACAATGCAAGCGCAAGTTCGCAAGGCACCTCCGAAACCAGGTTGGCCAATTCACGAAAAGTACGGCCCCCTGTCGGTAAGGGTCCAACTTCTATCATTGAACGGAGAGTCCAACTCTTTTCGCAGTTGGAGTCCGGCTTCTTGCTTCACTTCGTTGGGGTTCCGTGCTAGGACGAACAGTTGAGATCCAGACCGCAGACATCGACACGGCGCAGTCCTACAATTCCAAGGCCAGCCTCACTCGCCATCGTTCGTTCGCTCGGAAGTCGTGTGGCTTGATGTTTGTGTCGGAAACTGTGACAAGTTTCGCAGCACGAAACCAAAGGGAAAAAGACCCAGGGCTTCAACTGGGCAGCCCAGCTCCCGGTTCTAGCCCGTTTTGAGAAGTATTTGCATAGTGCAAACACGTGTGGCGTTTCAGTGAACCCATTTTCTACGCTTTTGGATGTTCCGAATCGTGTGGGAGAGCCTCTTTGGGGTATACCAAGTTGTCTGCGTTGCGCCAGCCGAACCTTGGCACGGACGTTGGGCGGTGGGAGTATTTTGATGGTGGAATGTGCTAAAGTTGTCCTGGGAAGCAACCACTTGAAGACTTGACGACTTGACCTCGTAGCTCAAGCTCGGCCTTTGTCACCCTCTCTGGGCCGAACTCCGCTCCCTACGACGACGCCTCTTTCTTGAGGCTTCCACATCAGTCTTCAGTCTCCAGCCGTGAGCAGCATCATGGTCATCTTTACCCTGATCGCCCTGACCGTGGCTGCAGCAGCAGATGTCACATGCGAGGACAAGTCTTGCAAGGAGGTGGAGTTGCTGCAAGACCAGGCTGTGAACTTGCTGCAAGTCATGCCAGGCGGGCTGAACATGCACACCACCCTGTCAGTACGTGATGTGGCACGTGCGAAGCAGCTGGTGCCGGGCCCGGCGTTTCTTGCGGCGCACGGGGAGTCCAATGGTCTGTTGAACAAGCATCTTCTGCGCATCACGAAGGGCCATGCAAAGCCTTGCGAGCACTTCAGCTTGGAGGACCTGGATCAAGTCCTGGCGGCCATTGATCTGAAGAGCCATCCGCATCTGCAGGAGATTTATGAGAGCAATCGCCACCCAAGCAATGAGCACTGGAAGGATAGCCGCGGCAGTGAGGCAGCCACGCTGAATGAGGACAAGCTCTCCGAGCACCCAGAGCTTCATGCGATGGTAAAGGCCGAGAAGAAATGCTATGATGCCGCAATGCGCTTTACCCACAGCATCAGTGACGCAGACAAGAAGGAGCTCCTTGCCAGCCACAAGATCCCATTGCTTCCAGAGCGAGGTGCTCATGAAACCGAGGCACTGTTGAAGACAACTCTGGGAGACGCGGAGGCCGGAATGTTAGTCTTCTATGCCAATTGCGCCGCTTGCCATGCTGGTGGTTGGAATGTCATCGCTCCGGATAAGACCCTGGACAAACAGGCCCTGTCGGACAACCTCATGTTGAGCACACCGGCCATCGAGAGGCAGGTCACGAACGGCAAGAATGCCATGCCGGCATTTGGAGGTCGCCTCTCTGACGACGACATTAAGAATGTTGCAGACTATGTCTTGCAGCAGGCCGAATCTAGGAGCTGGTAGGCGCAAAGCACTACTTTCCCTCATGCCTGTCGTAGCTGGCACGGCTGATTGCACGGTGAAATCCCAGCTCAAGCATTTGTTTTCTTTGAGCTGGCTCGCGCCCCGCGCGCCGGATGCCAGAGGCTTGGACCAAAGCGTGAAATCTGACTCCTGAATATGAGGGTTGTTCGAAATATGGCTTTCGAGGTATGTGTGGACACAAACACACACAAACACAAGAGCAGACACGTATACACACGAACAAACAGCATGTTCACAAAACTACACGCACCACAGCAGCACCAACGACGACAACGACGGCAACAACAGCAGCAGCAGCAGCAGCAGCAACAACAACAACAACAACAACAACAACAACAAAAGCAACAACAACACCAGCAACAGCAAGACCAGAACAAGAACAATAACAATATCAAAATCACAACCACAACCACAACCACAACAGCAGCAGCAGCAGCAGCAGCAGCAGCAGCAGCAGTAGCAGCAGCAGCAGCAGCAGCCACAACCACAACCACAACCACAACCACAACCCACAGCGACAGCGACAGCGACAGCGACAGCGACAGCGGCAACAACCACAACCACAACCACGGCGACGGCAACAGGAACAGCAGGAACAACAGGAACAACACGAAGAAAAAAAAAGAACAAGAAGAAGAACAAGACGAAGAACAAGAAGAATACCAAGAAGAACAAGAAGAATAACAAAAATAATAACAATAATAACAAAAATAAGCATAAGAACAAGAATAACAAGAACAATCATCAGAACAAAGACAACGACCGACGACCACGACGACAACCACAACCACAGTGACAACGACAATGACCACCAAGAACAAGCAACAACAATCAGCATCGAGCAACGACTAGAAACAACAAATAACCAAGCAATAACAAACACACCAACGACACCATTACAGCAACAACAGCCACGACAGACAACACCGACACAACCGCGCAACCACCGCAACAGCAGCACCACCACCACCAACTCCAACAACGCCCGCAACGCCAGCAGCAGCAGCAGCAGCAGCAGCAGCAGCAGCAGCAGCAGCAGCACAGCAGCAGCAGCAGCAGCAGCAGCAGCAGCAGCAGCAGCAGCAGCAGCACCGGCAGCGGCAGCGGCAGCGGCAGCGGCAGCGGCAGCGGCAGCGGCAGCGGCAGCAGCGGCACCAGCGGCACCAGCAGCACTGGCAGCACTAGCGGCAGCAGCAACACTGCGCCTTACACGCGCAAAACACGCAGCGCATACGGAACACAACAGACACAAAGACAACGCGCAAAAGAACACACACACACACACACAAAGAAGCCCGAGCAAGACGTCTCAACGAGCGCGCAAAGCAACCGTACATGCAAAGGACGCATGGCTGGCTGTTTGTTTGTTTTCTTTGTAATGCAATCCCCCAAATCAAAAATGGTATTCCTTTTCGTTTCCCTGAAAATCCAGCAAACGAGAGGGCCCCCCAAGGCCAACCCGCATAAAAGGTGAAGCCGGAGGGCAGAAGTTTCAAACTGTTCCAGCTGTAGTTTGGAGCGCGTTTCTTTTCCCCTAGCCACAGCAGGCAACCTCGGACAGAGAGCCTCGCGTTTTCCTTTCTGACCGACCCGCAGAGCCACTCGGCGCCGCCAGGTTTGTGCGACTTTCTCATTGAGCCGCCAGCCTCAGCGCCGCTTTTCAGGGAGCCAAGTCCTCACAAGCGGATAACGGAGGTTGGTGGATAGTGAGTCTGAGATCTAGAAAAGAATTGATTGGCTTCGCAGATGCGTAGGGGACCTCGGAAGAACGGTTTGGCGAACCAACCAGACTCTTGTAAAGGTCCTCTAAGTCCAAGATCTCCGCTATTCGCTTTGACCTCGCTCATTCTTGCTGAGGTTTCCAGACTCGCTGTCTCTGGAGAGCCAGCGCAGCAGGTACGCGGAAGCCAACAATGTCCTGTGTCTGATGGTGACGCTGTGATGGCCTACGTTCAGACTTTCTTTGGTCAACCGCAGCGCGGCTTCCCGTCTTGAAACATAACCTGCATGTGTTTGCTTTGCCTATGGCTTTTGAAGGAACACTATAGAGCGTTTAGTGCCCTATTACTCTCCCGCAGGCTCACCCTTTTCGCAAGAGCCCCTTGTTGGGTTCCATGAACAAAACACAGCAGAGTCATTGAAAGGTTTGATTTGTTCTGTGTGAGAATCTGTCCTTTCAACCTGTCGCCGTCCTTTTGGCTCAAGTGAAAACATGGGTATCCAACCCCAATGGCCACAAAGCACGGGTATCCCAGCCAACTATTGAGTTGGGAACGCGGCCTGTCGGACTCTCCTGTTTTCTGGGCAACCCCCAAAACAGAAAAATGGTGGTCGGTTGGTGGTCTCTCGCCAGGCCATGCGAAGCTGCTGCCGCCGCTGCATGCTCCCAAGTGGAAGGAGGGCCGAACGGTCGGATTTGCTGTGTCAAAGCCTGAAAGGGTTCCCTATTTTCTCACGGTTTTAAGATCACTTGGGCCAATTTAAGCCAGAATCCTTTTGGATCCTTTTGGAGTGATGTTTTCCGAGGGAAAACAATATGGGTGCCACGCAAAATCGTGGGTTGAAATGTGCCACATGGGATATGTGTCAAAGAAGGGGTGGCCGGGGCCAATGGTGGTTTTCCCGTGAAAACGGAAGCCTCCAAAACACAACGTTGGAGCAATGGACCTGCTTACCAGGGCATTGGTCCTGGCAGCTCTGTCGGTTTGTCGTAAAGTGGTCAACTGCTCATATGTCATTGTCATGGGAGCTTAAATAAAGGCGGACATGGCGGACTTCGGAGTTGAGGCTTGGGGACAAACTAGCAAACAATGCAAGCGCAAGTTCGCAAGGCACCTCCGAAACCAGGTTGGCCAATTCACGAAAAGTACGGCCCCCTGTCGGTAAGGGTCCAACTTCTATCATTGAACGGAGAGTCCAACTCTTTTCGCAGTTGGAGTCCGGCTTCTTGCTTCACTTCGTTGGGGTTCCGTGCTAGGACGAACAGTTGAGATCCAGACCGCAGACATCGACACGGCGCAGTCCTACAATTCCAAGGCCAGCCTCACTCGCCATCGTTCGTTCGCTCGGAAGTCGTGTGGCTTGATGTTTGTGTCGGAAACTGTGACAAGTTTCGCAGCACGAAACCAAAGGGAAAAAGACCCAGGGCTTCAACTGGGCAGCCCAGCTCCCGGTTCTAGCCCGTTTTGAGAAGTATTTGCATAGTGCAAACACGTGTGGCGTTTCAGTGAACCCATTTTCTACGCTTTTGGATGTTCCGAATCGTGTGGGAGAGCCTCTTTGGGGTATACCAAGTTGTCTGCGTTGCGCCAGCCGAACCTTGGCACGGACGATTTTCGGGTGCGCGCGTGTCTTGCGGAGGGTTGTTTGGGCGGTGGGAGTATTTTGATGGTGGAATGTGCTAAAGTTGTCCTAGGAAGCAACCACTTGAAGACTTGACGACTTGACCTCGTAGCTCAAGCTCGGCCTTTGTCACCCTCTCTGGGCCGAACTCCGCTCCCTACGACGACGCCTCTTTCTTGAGGCTTCCACATCAGTCTTCAGTCTCCAGCCGTGTGAGCAGCATCATGGTCATCTTTACCCTGATCGCCCTGACCGTGGCTGCAGCAGCAGATGTCACATGCGAGGACAAGTCTTGCAAGGAGGTGGAGTTGCTGCAAGACCAGGCTGTGAACTTGCTGCAAGTCATGCCAGGCGGGCTGAACATGCACACCACCCTGTCAGTACGTGATGTGGCACGTGCGAAGCAGCTGGTGCCGGGCCCGGCGTTTCTTGCGGCGCACGGGGAGTCCAATGGTCTGTTGAACAAGCATCTTCTGCGCATCACGAAGGGCCATGCAAAGCCTTGCGAGCACTTCAGCTTGGAGGACCTGGATCAAGTCCTGGCGGCCATTGATCTGAAGAGCCATCCGCATCTGCAGGAGATTTATGAGAGCAATCGCCACCCAAGCAATGAGCACTGGAAGGATAGCCGCGGCAGTGAGGCAGCCACGCTGAATGAGGACAAGCTCTCCGAGCACCCAGAGCTTCATGCGATGGTAAAGGCCGAGAAGAAATGCTATGATGCCGCAATGCGCTTTACCCACAGCATCAGTGACGCAGACAAGAAGGAGCTCCTTGCCAGCCACAAGATCCCATTGCTTCCAGAGCGAGGTGCTCATGAAACCGAGGCGCTGTTGAAGACAACTCTGGGAGACGCGGAGGCCGGAATGTTAGTCTTCTATGCCAATTGCGCCGCTTGCCATGCTGGTGGTTGGAATGTCATCGCTCCGGATAAGACCCTGGACAAACAGGCCCTGTCGGACAACCTCATGTTGAGCACACCGGCCATCGAGAGGCAGGTCACGAACGGCAAGAATGCCATGCCGGCATTTGGAGGTCGCCTCTCTGACGACGACATTAAGAATGTTGCAGACTATGTCTTGCAGCAGGCCGAATCTAGGAGCTGGTAGGCGCAAAGCACTACTTTCCCTCATGCCTGTCGTAGCTGGCACGGCTGATTGCACGGTGAAATCCCAGCTCAAGCATTTGTTTTCTTTGAGCTGGCTCGCGCCCCGCGCGCCGGATGCCAGAGGCTTGGACCAAAGCGTGAAATCTGACTCCTGAATATGAGGGTTGTTCGAAATATGGCTTTCGAGGTATGTGTGGACACAAACACACACAAACACAAGAGCAGACACGTATACACACGAACAAACAGCATGTTCACAAAACTACACGCACCACAGCAGCACCAACGACGACAACGACGGCAACAAACAGCAGCAGCAGCAGCAGCAGCAGCAGCAGCAGCAGCAGCAGCAGCAGCAGCAGCAGCAGCAACAACAACAACAACAACAACAACAACAACAACAAAAGCAACAACAACACCAGCAACAGCAAGACCAGAACAAGAACAATAACAATATCAAAATCACAACCACAACCACAACCACAACAGCAGCAGCAGCAGCAGCAGCAACAACAACAACAACAACAACAACAACACCAACACCAACACCAACACCAAGAACAAGAACAACACCAACAACAACACCAACACCAACACCAACACCAACACCACCACCACCACCACCACCAACAACACCAACAACAACAACAACAACAACAACAACAACAACAACAACAACAACAACAACAACAACAACAACAATAACAAACAACAACAACAACAACAAACAACAACAACAACAACAACAACAACAACAACAACAAACAACAACAACAACAACAACAACAAATAAATAACAAATAAATAACAAATAACAAATAACAACAA